ATAGCTTATCAGTAGCACCTAAAGAAGCCTTCTACAAACAACCAAATCCACAGCCAGTAAGTTATAATATTTTTTTATTCATGTTAGAATTTCTATCAGTGTTTGAACATTAATATTTAGAGAGTTTGTACAATTTCCATTCAAAATTTAAAATGAGAACCACACTAGATCACAAATGGTAACTAAAACACAATTCAGAATGGTATGAATATTCATACTCTCTTTCTCTCTTAACACTGTTAAACACTTTGTTTTCTCCAGGGGGGTTACAAGGAAAAGTGTGCACTGTAATTGTATCTCAGCAGTGTTCCAAAACATAATGGTATCATCATTACATATAAACTCTTTAAAAATATACTTCTGTCAAAAGACTTGATGACTACTATGTACACTACAAAAATAAATTTTCATATAAATAAATTATATGGCATAATTTTATCTTTGTAACTGAAATGACACAAACCCACTCCTACCAAAACAGGCAGGCAATGAGACCCAGTTTGAATATTTTTTCCTTTTAACTCCTTACACTAAAAGCTACGACAAGTCCTTAATGTAGATGTTATATACTCTTTCCTATTTAACATTAGTAAGCACTCTATACAAATAAAAATCCATTAAACAGTAAAAACATAACTGTAATAGTGTTTCCAATAGAAATAAAATCCCTGCATCTTGTTTTGTTATAAACTGGCATGACAAATACTGTAAGAAAAACATTCTTATGATACAAAAATATAAATATCACCCATGATTAAAAAAGTTAAAAAACAAAACAAAATAAATGTTGCCAGCCACTGAATTCTCCCCTTGCCAATGTGACTGTCGAACAACAAGGTCTACATTGTGCATGAAGGAGCAGGCAGCTCGCCCACACGCAAGCATGCAGGAGGACTTGGGCAGGGGCAGGTGGGAGACACTGCAGCTCACCCTGGGCCCCTTCCCTCGTGAGGAAGAGGAGGAAGCAAGACAGCCTTCAGCACGGGAGGGGCAGCGGTGTCAGCGGGAGCCCTGCCAACCTCTGACACGAGAGCGCGCACGCTCGGTGGTTGAAGGCAGCTTCCAATTAGTATCATACAGTTGTGTTGCAGAGTACGTATGATCTGAGGTCACTATGCTGCTAGTGCTAAATTGGGGCCCCTCGACTTTTTGTCATGAAGAGTTTTCATGTTAGACAGTGAACTGGACCAGTAGGCAGTTGCGACATTAACCCTTGGTGTGCACTGAAACAGTAGCTTATGTATCACGGGAATGACACCAGGCTCTCGCCACCTGCTCTTCGAGCGTTCACATTGGAGATCTGTAAACAAGTGCCTCATATCAAAGTGTTTTCAAGTGAGCAAAAAAGGCATGGAAATTTGTGCATTCTAATTATCCCCATTTGTTATGCTGGCAAGGTCTGTGGGCAAAGATAGACTCCCTGAAGCCACTGCAGAAAAACACTTTCCCATCAAAGAATTGGCCACTGCTGTTCAGATATCATGCATAAAGAAAAGCCCCACCACTGCTGTGTCTAGAAACTGAATATGGGTTGTGTTTGGCTCTGAGTAAACAACTGAACATCTACCTGCTCTAAAAAACAGCTTGGAGGAGAGCAGAAAAAAGATGACAAAAGAAGACAGAGATAATGAAATTTTATGTTGCACTATTTTAAATTTAGGTTCTCTATTCTTAGGGTTTGTTTCCAAATGGAACACAGATTGTAGTGTTTTTCCAGACCCTTCACCTGCAGCAATCCCCTTTTAGTTTAAAAATAATAGTACAAAAAGCTAAATTAGTTTCGCAAAGAGATCCCAGTTTAGCTGTTTTGATTGAAAGTGCCAATGCAGCATGGGAAAACACAAACAATAGAGGGAAGAACAACCCAGTCCTTCTGTGTCGTTACCGTCCCAGGCCTATCAGAAAGCCATTTATATTTAAAAAGTGAATATATTTTTTTATCCTTCCATTTGATCACTTACTATTAACTCCTTCCTGCCAAGAAAATAAGGTGACCAAAGATACTGGTTTCAATGCTGTAAGGATACAGCTGAGCTGTGGCTCACCATCAAACAACTCCTTATCCAGCTTCTAATTCCACTCATCATTAACAGTATCAAAATAAGGCAGATGCTCATTGAATTTCTATAACCACCAGCACCTCTCAATATCCAGCACCTTTGGAAGTGAAAAAATAATGGTTATAGTGTTTGCACTTACCTGGCACCTTTTGCAAGGAAAAAAACTAAATCAAAGCACTACACAAACAGTAATTAAGCCTTACAACATTCCTGGGAGGTAGGTAAGTGTCATTATAACCATTTTACGGAATGAGAAACTGAGGCATGGGGCAGTTAAGTGACTTGACCAAAGTCACGCAAACCAAGTCATTAAGGGTCTGGGAACTGCAACACAACCCCAAACCTCAACTCCCTGTCTTCTCTTGTATTTCAGTTGGGCCTTTCATGATGGCAGTCTGTGGTGTGTATGTTGGTAAGCACCAACACAGTGCCTACTAACAGGGAAAGCCAGACTCACATCAGCATCAGTGGGTTTATAAGCCCACTAAGTGTTAACATACAGTAAAAGAGAAACTACAGTACACCAGGAACATACACACAGAAGCATGCATATTTCCAGGTGCACACATGGATACATACAGCAAAACAAAACCTGCACATAGCTAAATCTATTTAAGCCTCCCAGATTAACTTGCTTTTCTTCATATCTGCTTATTTTAAAAAATTACCACGCATAGCGTGTTTGAAAGTTAACCGTAACATTTCATACTACCACAGGGTTGTGATACGCAAACTTAAAATATTTTAAACAGACATGTACCTTTTAAAAAAATCCTATTACATAAGCAATATTTGCATAGAATTATACAAGTAAATTATAAAATATTTAAGCAGCAGCAACTTATGCTGAAATTTAGAACTAGATTAAGCTTAGTTGTGGCACAGAGATCAATGTACAAAAAGTACAAAGCGCACACAATATTGTCCCCATTCTATTGCCCAGAGGCAAATTACTCCAGATTATACTACTTTACATTGTTCTTTTGTATATTACATATGTGTACATCTTTTAAATACTTAAAAGAAATATTTAACAAAATAATACAATAGGTTACAGTAACAGTGAACTGTTGTCCTGATGCAGCATGTCCTTTTCTACAGCTTCAAGCAGTTCTTCTCTTCAAGCAGTTCTGGAAATACAGTTTTCCATCTTTGGCCTCTTCTTTGCTTCAGTTATTACCCTGTACAAATAAAGGGAGAAGAAAAATAAACATTCATTAAAGTTCAAGAAAAACAAACAAATCAAGCTAATCCAACTCATTTCATGATTTTTGTGGCTACAGTTAGCAGTCAGGAAATGTTGGCTCTGCTTTCATCTCAGTCATAAATTTCTTGATGAAGAAATACTGATGCCAATTTAAAAAATGCAGATGCTTTAATTTCTGAGTTCCCAGCTTTAGACACTTGTAACAAATTCAGTGAAAACCAAAGAGCACTTGGAGGAGAAATACACTACACTGAATACTGCACACATTTAAGCATGCACTTCAGCTCGAGAAAGCTGAGCCCAAGAATTTCCTTACTCTGTGGATACTATTGTCATATTTCTAGACTTCGAGGCTAAAGGCATTCATGTCTATTTGCACTATGGGACATTTGGAGAGACATTTTGTAAATCAGAGGGTGATTTTATTACAAGTCATCACAAAAATTTCCATCAAGACTCTGTGTGTGTGTTTGTGTCTGTGCACACACACGTGTACACGTGAAATAGTTCTGCAAGGAAAATGCAATTACTTGCTCTGGTCAAACTGGTGTCTGTCACTGACAAGCTCAGTCAAGCAAACAGAAAAAACAGGGATCCACAGCTAAGTAACTATTCTAACTCTTTCTCTTTCCCCCACAAGAGAAAAACAGGGTAAATATAGGGAGAAATGATTTTTCAGGTACAAGCCCCAAAAAGCATTCAGAGCAAAAACTCAATGACTTTCTCCTTTTCAAAATATTCCTTATTAAAAATAACGGGAAACTAAATCAAACCAAAACAAAAAAAAACCCACAAAAAAACCCCACAAAAAAATAACACAAACAAACAAACAAGTAACTACACAAAAACCCCAACGCCACAAACAGCTTTCTTCTTCCCCAAACATTCTCTAAAATATCCTGTCTGTACTAAACAGCACCATCTCCTGTAACCTTCTCTTGCCAGCCTAAAGACGGACAATCGAGTCTCGCAAGGTGTGTCTGTTGTTTCACAGGAACACAATAAACACCCTGCTAGGTCAGATCCACCCTGCACAAATCTGCAGTAGCCACTGCAGCTGCCCCTGGCCAGGCAGAGGTTGTCCCACAGACCCCTTCAGTGTGCAGGTTCACTGGGTGGTTCTCTGAAGGCCCCCAAAGAGCAGGGGACACGCTGCTGTGCCCAGTGCAATAGGCATGGTAGGGCTTCCCACTTCTCACTTGGCTCCTCTTCCAGAGGTGTTCAGTTCTCTTTATGGACTTCAAATTCTTTCACATACCATTTCATTCTAGAGAGGACAACTCTTGAAGTAGCTGGCAATTTTACACTCTCCTAGGCAACGTCATTCTGTGTGATGTTTTGGAACATGCCTGACTCAGGGATCAGAAGACAGGACCTATCAATGGTAAATGCAGTCGCACAGCTCTGAAGATGTTACACAACATCTCTGCTTCATTTTCCTTATCTGGTAAACTAGGACTGCACAATGTACCTACGCACTTTGCAAGGCTCTTAGAAGTAGTTCATGTCTGAACCCACTATGACCTCTCAGTGTGGGAAAGTTTTATCTTAGCCAACCTCATTTCTAGTGCAAAATGCAATATTTGTGGTCAGCAGATTTAAGATGATCTGTGACCTGTAAGTAGTGCTCCCTAAAGGAAAGATACCTCTGAGAAATTCCATCTTTTCCCTTTCTTTCCATCACACCATTGCCCGACACAGGCAAACCTGCAGTTATGTGTGACGGACCTACCTTACTGTGAGCTGTTGCCAGATATCCTTTCCTCACATTCAACATCTTGCAGTTCTATAACTTCTACTTTAGAATTTCTTCTTTCACACCGCACATTGTAAGGCACGTGGGGGTCCTCAAACAGCCCTTGGTCAGCTTCATGGTGTCCCTCAGAGGACGGAAAGCTCCCTCCCCGAGAGCTGTGGCCGTGCACTGCAGGGTGGACAGCAACAGTCACTGAGGCCGAGGCAGTCACAGTAGTGATAGGCTGGCAGTAGGCTGGGCCCGCGGCACCGAACACGGGGCTCCTCACGCTGTGAGCGTTAGCCTTGTGGCCCAAGCGATCCCTAGTGCTGGGTCCAGAATGCCCCTCAGTAGAAATCTCAAAAGCATCCCTGCGAGGGCGGTAAGGAGGTGGTCGCAGCCCTTCCCTCGCGTCCCGTTTGGGCTGTCTGCCCTGACGCCAAGCCTGCGGCGCGCTGCACTCCGGACTCAGCTGCGCCCTGGGGCTCGACTGGTGCCTGGCTTCTGGCTGAACCACCTGCAACAGAGATGCACTCTTACACTTCTGACAGAGTGAAGCAAGCAAATAAAAATCCTTGCTTGTATTTTCTTTTTGCTGAGAATAATCATAATAACACTCTGACTCTACAAAGGTAATGTGGAATCTGTAATTGATTTTTCCATGGGTTTTGTCTGAAGTTATTAAAGCCTGGAAAGCACATCTTCAGAAAAACACAGGATGACAGCTGAAAACATTATTGTAAGCTTCCTACATGCTGGTCCACCTTTTCAAAAGGATGGGTGACAAGCACTCGATCTTAACTCGTTCAACAAGCAGAATTGCAGGCATTTGGAAAAGGGTCTATTCCATGCAGGGTACATACACAGGATGTTAGTAGGGTAGTTTGTATAGACTGTAGGAATCTGTTTTCTGATTTCCATAAAAAGCGTGAAGCGCAGCAGCCACATCAGTCAATAAACCGTGACCAACTTCAAATGTGACTGTGCTTGTACCTATTTCTAGGCCTCTGCTGAACAAAACCAGATCCGCATTGCAGCTCAGCATGCAACATCAGCAGGGGTAGGAGACAGAGCTTTTTCACTTTCCTTTGAAATCACAATAATGCCAACCCAGTAGCAAGATGCAACAAGGCCCAAGATTTGGTACAACACTTCAGCTGCTTTCTTATAGCTCTACTAATCTTTCTCTCCAAAATGTGATATCAGAGAGATATGCGACAGTGATCCACAAGGAGCTGTGTAGACGAGGTTGAGATCTTTTAATCTCTCCCTGTTCTCCCTCTGAAAACAGTCATCAAACAGACTGAGAGCTCTCTCTTGTGGCTGGTGCCAATATGATGAAACAGCAATTATACATGCCAAAGACCTCTGCTTTTGTACTGCCACTTCATCCACAGCTTGATTCCAAAGGAGAAGATGAGGAAAACCTTCACTCCCTGCTTACAAATTTTGGCACAAGTCACAAAGCACAATCAGTGAGAAACAGGAAAGAGTTTTCCATGAAAATAAATAGATTCAAATTTAAAAAAACCCCAAACACTCTTCTTGTCCTCCTACCATATGAAAGCTACTTACAGTGGATCTCGCAAAGAGAGGATTCTCAGTGGCTTCCACTATAACTTGATGGACCGGTGCCCCGGACCCCTGGTTGGCCTCATACTGATGAAGCTCTTCACTGATGCCAGACACCGTGGTTTGCGAGCTGTACTCTGAATCAGAGGAATCCGAAGCGTTGTTCGTGTGCCCAGGTGGGAGTGCAAACCTCACGATGCTGGGCGGCGGCTCAGGAGATGGTGTGGGCAATCTGTTATGTCCGTTGGCTGGAGAAACCTGATAATGGCAACACTTTCAGTAGGGGTCAGCTAGCTTTATCTTTTTAATCATTAGTGCTTGACACAAATATTCTTCTGCACAACACAGCCTCCCACACCGCGACAACCTGGGCACCAGTTTTCTGATAAACATTTATAGTGAACTGAAAAAACACAGTGAAAGGGAAAAGACATGATCTCTATCTGTGGACATGTATGTGAGCAGGATTGCACAGATTCTTCTGGGCATTGCTGTCTCAGGAAGTGTGTCTATGTGTGTGTGCAGGCACTTGCACTTTAAAATATAAAAATAATACCTGGTTTCTCTCCCCCTCCACCAAACATCAACAGTGATTTTGTAAAATCACCTCATATGTGTAGATACAGCATGATTCAGTGTCTGTTTGCAAAGAGAGATGGATACACACATCACAGCAATGTCTATGGCAAGAACATGCACACACATACTGTTCAAGGAGCAGGTCATGTATACTGTTAGGAATACAAGACATTACACAATGTTGTCAAAACTGCTTTACTATTAAAAGAACCCAAACACTTCTGAAGTATTACCAGTCCTATATACATACCTTGTGTTTTATTCTTGTACACACATACATACATATAGACATGTGAACAACAGCACACTGATTCTACTAACACATGATAAAGATATCCCTATGTAATGCAGTAATTGTATTAACTGCAGAGTAGGTAATGAATGATCAACCACCAAATGTAGATTTGGTATCTGTGAATCCTGGTATCTGGAGCTGGGCTTTACACTGTAAAGACATCAATATCTCAGTGAAGCCTTCCACCCATCAAAAATGCTGCTTGAGCCAGGAGAATACTGCAGGGAGTGGTGACTGGACAGCAGGGACCTTCTGGCAGACTGATCATGGTTATCAAGGTGTGGTCTGTGGACCACCACTGTGTATGTTGGTCCACACAGGCCTTCCTGGTGGTCTGCTCAGTTACACATTTTGAGGAATGCTACAGAGGCAGTGAGGTAGTATAGAAGAAGGTATCTGTACAAAACAAACTGTCTTTTGCAAAATATTGGGGGAAATCCTTATTTTACAAACCAGTTTGCATATAACATAATGCTTTTAAAAGCATAAATGTCAGGTTTGCTGACTGTGGCCTCTAAAACAAAACTTATTAAAAAAAGGCATTAAAAATAGAAGAATATCAACTACATAACAAACAGCAATTTTAATAAAAATTTTAAAAAGCCTAGAGAAAAAGACTTAATCCAAATGAGTTTTAAAAATAGTTTCTATAAAAGGGGAGTGGTTGGGGGGGGAAGAAGGGTACAAACACTGCATTATTTCTTCTGCTTACTGTTAATTTTACTGACCTCAGGGTATGGTCCAAAGAATGAAAGAAGAACAGGAAGCAGCACCAATCCATTGAGAACTCCCAGAATGGTTAAGATTGCCAAAACAGCAAAGAAATACCTGAAGTACATTTTAAAAGGTTTGGAGGAGAGAATAGCCACAAAGATTGTTAGAAATAAGAGATTGCAAATTACTCCTACATACGTTAAAATAATACATATACAAACTAAATCTAACATATTACTAACATTGTAGTAAATAATTGTATTGCTTTCCATATACAGATATAGGAGTTTTTACCTTTTGAATTAGAGAAGCTACATTCCACAAAGTGTTAGTTGATAAAGGAAAGAAAAAAATTACATTTGTTAATTTCCCAGAATCTGGAAGCATGTAATGTTATTTATGAATGTGTTACACAAACACAAAAATATGGAATGTGCAGGGAATAGCTGAATGGATTGAAAGCACAAATACAATGAAAAGGGGCCCCCATTAGTGAAAACCCAGCAGAAGCAAACAAATGAAGTGAAGGGTGTAGAATTTAAACAATTTAGCCTAGAAGGAAAAGAAGCCCTCTTCTCCCAGCAGCTAATCCACTGTGAAATGCTTCTGCAACTTACAGCAGAATGTCTAATTAAATCTACAGTATATCAGGTAAGGGTTTTCCTTGCCGTTCATTAATCACAACTTAACGCCTAGAATTCTGTGAGTTCCAGTTTTACCAAATAGCTTGAATTGCAACCCTTTTACAACACAGGAACCAGCTTTCTGCAAAGAAAATGCTGCCCATTCTATAGTAAGCTTCAGCATTGTACTGAGTAAGAGTGCTCCACAATGGCAGAGCTGCATTGCAGGCTAATCTTTTGTTGAACAATTTAGCATCTCTGAATACTCTTGTTTTGCGTCAGCCAATTCAAACATAAAGGCTGAAATACTATGGAAGAAGAGAAAAGTGCACAAGTAGTTGTCCTTTCCCACCACTGAGGGCTAAGGTCTGGGATCCTTCATGAATACCAAGGTAAACCTGTCAGTAAAAGGAAAGCCTTGCTAGTTGGTATTCGGCACAGCTGGGGCTCAGACTAAACTTAAGGCTGCGTTGTAACTAATGATTTCAAGGACTCAGTCTTGGTAAATTCCTGGAGGAGAAGGCAAAGGAGAAGAACAGAGGGCAAGTTTGCCACTAATGGGTCTGCTGATTACATTGTCTAACTGGCAACGAACTTTACTGCCTCCCTGTTTCCACATCTGATCAAATATATCAGACTCCTGTAAAACTATAAATATCCTGCTATTGTAAACATTTGGGAATTTCTGATCTGCATTAGCAAAAATCAGCAAGCCAATCTACTCTACTAACATAAACCACCAGAACTTTATACTGGGACACAGATCAACAACAGGCATTAAAAACATTTGCATCTCATCCATCTAACGCTAGAATAAACAGGAGGATTATAGCTTTAACCACTTGGTATATACAATGTCTGTTAATTTACTTAATCTTCCACATTGTCGGACTAATCTATCGCTTTCCGGAAGTTTGGGATCTTCTTCGGCCCTGTAACAATGCTCAGGCTCCCCATAGTTTATTTTATTTTATTTTTTAAACAAGGCAAACTAAAGTCAGATTGTGCTATAAAATGAGAAACTGATGGCCTGAAAAAAGCGAAATAACGTAAGTTGAAAAGTTGAAAGGCTCGTTTTATAAACTGAGAGAACATCCAATCCAAATTTGGTGTGAATGGCTGCTACAATCTTCCATTTGCTGTGACACAAAAATATGCTTGCCAAAATCTCATCTGTTAAGTAGAAAAGTAGGACACCAAATGTACCTCTCTAAATTTAGGTTAAACCTATCAGTAACCTATATGTCAAAATGTTCCAACCCTTACAAGATCAGGTCCTAAAAGAATAATTCTATTTCTTCAATACCAATACAATAAGTAAAAATATTGACTCGGGAAAAAAAAAAGTCCTATTTCAAGACATGCAGTATCTGTATAGTAATAATCCTCCTGTAGGTTTCATGAGATCTAGCTGCAAACTGCCTGCTTTCTTCAATTCTCTTTCATACATAAACAAAAAGCTTGATGAGATTTAGCAGTCATTCTCTCAGTTCCTGCCCCTGACATTTTGTTGTTCTTCTTGTCAAATGGATGTCAGTTAAGTCTAGTCATCTATCCAGCTTATGTCTACCTAAGCAGTTAAGCCATCTTTCAGAGCGTTTTTATTTGGCCCAGTTCTACCTCAGTTCCATTTTAGGGCTTAGATTACTTTTTTTGTGTGTGCTGTAGTTTACCACAAAGAGCCTGTGTTACTTCTAAGATTAGCCATTTTGCAGAGCTCCACAGGTTGTTCGGAATAGAATAGGATCTGTTTCATTGCAGTTCTCAAATTCCCCACAACGAAAAACTTTCTTTCCTCTCTACTTGATGAACTCACATTCTTAATTAAATTCAAAAGAAACAGTCTGCTTGTAGTTCTAAACAGAAGGGCCTTCAGGCTTAGCTTTACAAAATTTTAGTATGAAGTTCTGTGTTCATATTTATGGTTCCCCAGCTTCCAAACAGGGCTTCCCTCCCCCACCTTTTCCTCATTATGTAAACCTCACATAATGATAGAAGGGGAAGGTCCTGAGAGAGTCACTTGCAGCACAGTTGAGTGTTGGTAGGCTCACGTGTCCTTTGCATGCAAATTCTTGTGCACACGAGAAGTCTGGAGGACCTCAAGGTCAAATCCAGCTAATACTGGACAATACTAGATGCTTTGAACTAACTTAAACCCATAATTAGCAAACTTTCTAAAGAGGAACATTTTTGTGTTCTCTCATGCTGAATGTCAGACTTTCCTGGAACAGATTTTAATGCCAGCAATGGAAACACTACCACGTCTAGCATGTAACAAGGAGTTAATAAAACAGAGGGAAAGCAGGACCATGACGTAGGCATGCTTGACACACCATGCATAGTAATAAAATGACAGATTTGCTGAAGTGACTGAAAATTAAAAGCATGCTTATTTTCAATTTAAAAAGAAAGTCAACACACACAAATGCTTTACCTGACAATAAAATCAAACTCTGATCCTGCGAGCATTAACACCCCAAGCAGAGTGGACACAGCCCCATCCAACACTGGCGCAAACATGTGTTCCAGAGCAAGGACAGCCCTATGGTTCCTGTCTCCTATGGCAGTTAAAAATGCCTGCAAGACAAAGAAATCCATTTCGTTAGACAGACATGCACAACCTTCCAAACAGCCTCTCTTACAGCACGCACAGTTTTCCATCAGTTAATTGCTCCAAACTACAGTTTAAGAAAGTATCTCTGCAGCTGGCTAACCCTGCAGAGAAGTGTGATCCTGAAGTCACAAGCCACATAGCTGCTGCTGAAGTCACACCACCAGAGTACACCCTGACGACAGAGTCAGACCATAGTAATAATTTTGGAAGTAATGCCTGCTTGCCTCAGCAGCCTTTTGTCTCCAGCTTTGCTTATTTCTACTTGTAAAGAAGTCCTGTCATGGTGAAAGCATGGTGTCAAAATTTCAGAGCTACTCCTCTCTTGTGGGGCCGTGACTTTCATGACGTTTTTTTAACACTTCTATTTCATTCAAACACTTTTGCAACTTCTACTACTTCAAAGCTAGCAGGTCCATACATACAAAAATGTCTCAGGAATAGTGCTGAACATGCCTGAGCAACAATACGAGTAGTGAAATGTCTTTCTCCCTCCAACTCGCTGGTGAACAGGCTACATCAAGAACAGTCAATTGCTGTTGTTTGTTATGAATTTGTCTTCTCTTCGTATGACTTGATGGTTTAAGAAAAGAAAAATCTAGCTGACCTTTTTCCTGTTACTTTTAAGGGATCTCTGGTGACTCCTCTACTGCCTATTAAGATCTGAGCTCAAGCAGTACTCTCAGTACTAGAATTTTAGTGTCTTTTCTCTACAATTTTCAGAATTGAAAAAAAATTTCACAATTCACGAGCAACAGCAGAGAACTGACCCACAAGTGAATCATTCTTAAACTCAATTAAGTTCTATATCAACAGTTCCAGCACTGCCCTTTTTTGTTTATGCAACACTGGTTTGACTGTTTATATGCAGGAAGTTCTGTGTAGGTCAGTATAGCTGCTATCATCTGAGGTTTACTAGGCATTCTTTTATTTAAAGCTTATGCTTCAAAGTTTTTGACTCCAGTGTCAATGTGAGACAACCACAATTTTCAGTTTGCTTGGTATTTTACTTTCACCCATAGATGACCTGTAAAGTCTTGTAAATTAAATTAGTTTCTTCCCACCCAGAAATAACTGGTTTGTCCTTTTTACTCCAGCTTTTCTGCTTCAAATCTTCAATTCTACAAAGTTGTCATTTCTTTCTTCCTCTTCTACACCATTAGTTTGTGACACTTCCCAAACTACTCCAAGTCCTAGCAAACTCTTTTACCTCCAAAAGCCTAACTATGCATAGCAGCAGGGGAAAAAAGATGTCATCACTTCAGGCATCCAATTGCTCCTCTTAAACCTTACCCTACTTCCCCTATGATATTTTCTTAAAATTATTCTTCTCCTGTTATTTTACGTGCCCTAACTCTGTACATCCTCTATACCAGTAGATAAACAGTAGAAAACTAATTTCCTACAGGCTGCATATTTGTGCCCACTATTGATATCTGAAAATAAAGTGCAGATTTTACAAGTGGAAAGCGAATCCAAATATGTTCACATTCTAGTAGTGCAGAAAGATCAAATGACACTATATGTGATTTTTAAAATCTCCTTTAAAGGCTTCTCTTTCACAAAACGTAAGATCTACATGTGAGAGGAAACAAAAAGCTACATAGCACTGGGGCAGTAACGGTGAGGCTGCAGAAAAGGACCATGACAGTCTGGACTGAAGTAAGGTGATACATAAGCTCTGCTTGTCTATATAATTGCATCAATCAGACAACTAGGTATCACACGTAACGTATCCTCTCTTACCTCCTGAGAGACTGTCTCATTTGTGAGGAACAGCCACATCAAGAGCAACTCTGTTCCATCAAGACAAACTGAAAGGTTCACAAAACTGTGACCATTTTCCTTCCAAGAATTATGTCACTGACTTAAGAGACTAAAGTAAGGATTTGTGATCCAAACATTGCCACCATTTTATTATAAAGTGTTTTTATATGCTTGATTTTACATACCAAAGCAACATGAACAGTGAATTCCACGCCGATGCCAACAGAAGCAATCAGGATAACCACAGGCACTGCACTTAGCTTTATTCCAATTAGACCCATCATGCCAAACAGCTCCACAGTCATCAGAGCCAGCACCACCACCTAGATGATGTCAAACACCCGTTAGTAACTTCTTACACTCAAATGAAGAGAAAGACATGTCAAAACAACATGGTGACTATACATATATATATATACTCTTCAAAGTCATCCTATATTCCCAAGACTAGCTGCATATGCTTGTTTTGTTGTCTTCAATGGCAAAGAAATGCTGAAGAGCCAGTCTAAATTACACTCCTAAGAACCATTTAACAGACCAAGCATCAGATTTGTTCTGGTTACAATCTATCAGTGATCTGAAAAGCAATTTATTCCTTCTTTTTATGTATGAATACCTCCAAAACATACATCTTTTTTTCACCTGTCTCTCAGACAATCCTTCCAGAAAAAGTGACTTTCAACTACCTGTATTTGAACCCTTTTTGCAGAACTGCAATTGTAAAATGAGGATGACTTCTCAGTAGGTTCAAAGCCCAGAAGAAAGTGAATGCCATAATCAGCTGATGAGTCTCGGGTTACAGAGGGGCTCTGAGCTTTTAAGATACTTGGAGGGATTGACATGGACAAAATGAACAGTTAAATCTAAGGGAAAGCTTTTATTTTTCTTTCATCTACCTTGTAAAAAAAATTTAGGAAAAGGGAGGGGAGGAAATCTGGGGAGTCAACTTTAAAAGTTGCTAAAGCCAAGCAGGAAAAAAAAGATAGACATGCTTATAAAAGCAATAGTGGACTCTGAAAATAAATGCCTTTTCCAAGGAAAAAAGTATGCACTACAATAAATGATTTTATAAGCTAATGAATCAAGAGTAATAACATAAATTGCTTGATTAAGTGCTATGAAAAATATTCTAGACTAAACATTTACCTTTTAACATACCTGTCATATAAACGTACATTACAAAAACTAGTAACTGTTTTATGCTTTTCTACTTCTGGCATTTTATAAACCATACGATAGTTTATGGAATTTAAACATAGGAACATCATCATTCAATTTAACTTGAATGTTTATTGAGAGGCTTATGGTGCCTTGCAGAAAGCATGGAGGAGTATTCTTTTCAGTTTATAATTTTA